AGTAGTAGTAGTAGTAGTAGTAGTAGTAGTAATAGTAGCAACCGTAGTGGTGGAAGTATTATTATTTGTTCTTGTTGTTGCAGCCAGAGTTGCCATGGCAACAAGCCGTAAATCAGTGAGAGGTAGGCCTGTCGCAGCTAGTAGTGTCGACAAACAGAAGGTTCCCCCAACTCACAAGTCAAGGAAGACGGTGTTGGTGGACAACAGTTTACTGCCGGAAAATAGACAGTACAGAGGCTGTGTTGTGCGCCAATCGCCAATACGTCTGCTCCGCAGCTGTGTCTGCGAGGTTGTGTGTTTGCTGCAGTCAAGCCGTGCCTGCCAGGCCGTGGAAGAGTAATCAATCGTCTGCCGCCAATCAGACGAGACGGAATTATCGATTACCTATGAGTGTATGCGCGTATAAAGCGGTGAGCTGGTCGATAACACGCGGAGTAGATGACTAAGCACAGGTGTAAGCCCTGGCAGGGCAAAAGCAGAGTCGGTGCGACAAGTTTCCACAGGCCAAGAAACGTGGACGGCGAGTTATCACTTCCGTTATTTCTCTGTCATAGGCCAATCCTGTCCCTGTGTACTGCAAATGTCAGTGAACTTGAATCTGAGCCAATCGCTCTGAGCTGAACCAAAATAGAAGCCCTAACAGACTAGTTTTGGACAGCTCTCTGACAACAGTGATGAAGAAATGGCATACCCTGTTGTGGCCTCTGTTGTCACGGGTTCTTATCGCCTTTGTCCGTGAACGCATTGCGTTACCCATCTCCGTAACAAAAGGGTTCAATTTGACACTTCAGAAAAAAATTTCAGCGTATTGTGAAAACTGTAGACTCCAGGTTCAGCAAAATCAGTGGCTCAGACAAAGGTCTTACACTCGTCCGTTACTGACTCTGGGATAACGACGCAATAGAAGCTATATCAGTACCAAGGATATAATAGGCCACTTGTTCCCCACAAAGAAAAAGAAGAATGAGAGGGTACAGTGAAAATGAATTTATGGGGTCCAGATACTGTGTGCAATGGCTTATTATAGTTTAGCAACTCCTTTACATTGATTGGATGACTGCAATTGGTTCAAGATTAACCTCAATGTAGTTAGTTCGAATTGGAGAAAAGTATTTTACATTCATTTAACACTCTTTAGTTATCAAGTTAATAATTAATAGTTGATTAATTCCTCACAATTTCATGGACTATATGAGTAAAAGATCGATCATCCAACTAATTTTTCAATCACTTACAATTTACTCAGCCCAATACTGTTATGACTCAAGGAGTAGGCGGAAAAGAAGGCAAAAAGCCGGTTTAAGTGGCAAGCACTTTTTTCAGGACAAAACAAAAACGGCGGATTTCCCAGCTTCCCCTCTCCAGCGTATTCATAGGGTTTTGCTCCTTCTGAAACAATCCTGGCCTATGGTGTGCGACCGGTGTTCTGGCCTGC